TGTGGCTCATTTGGGTACTCAGTCTCCACCTGTGTCCCCTTGTTTGCGTGTGTGTACGTATGTGTATGTGTGTGTGTTCAGGCAGTATCTTATACAAAGGTATAACTCCCGCTATGCCCTGTATCAGCCTGTATCCCTAACACACCACTTCTACTTGTATCAACCTGTATCAATCTATACTGGTTCACTTCATCAGCTGTTGGTGTCCGCTCCGGCTCAGTGATCAGGTAAAAATAATCAACACACAAACAGCTAATTAGATCATCTCCCGTGGGCAACAGCTCGCGAGTGTTGCCAGAATATTATCAAAATATATAAACCAAAGATTATTTTAATATACTAAACAAAAATAACACACACACGCATAAATAAACACATATATATGTATATAATTAGCCATACATTTACATATACATATACACATCAATTGTTATCAGCAGTCTTATTGTTTATAATTTAAATATATTCATAATAAAATACTGCGTCAATAGTACTTAAATTGTTCATAATACTGCTATAAGCCTCGATCATGCGATAGGTCTATCACTCACGGCGAAAATCGCACCTAAACCCCGTATAAGAGTGAATAACTGTCTATCGTACCTTGTTCGACGATATTTAACGAGGTCTTCTTCCAGCGGGACGACAATTTGCTGTAGTCTGCCCTCGACTCTTGCGAGAGTATACCTTCAGTTCGTGAGGGTATATACTCAAGCGGGAGCTCTGACCCGAGTATGTCGCTCTGTAGACGGCGACCTAAGCTGTCGTTGTCTCACTTACGTGGAGTCGGAGGCCCCTGATTGGTGGTTTCATTTCCCGCCAAATGACAATTGGCAGGCAGGTCCGGCCCCCCCCCCCTCTAACTCGAACTACTTTGTTTGGGTGGTTCACGGCCGTCTTCGTAGTGTTTGGTAGTAATGATGAGTGTGTATGTGTGTGTGATAGGCGGCAGAATATAGCGAACGATATGGTCGTTCGCTATATATGTAAGTATACAGTATATATGTATATACACACTACATATATGTATGTATACAGTATACATGTATGTATATCAAATTAACGATACATAAAGATCGTAATTTATAATCATCCCTAAACTCTTTCATTCCCCCCCCCCAATCTCCCTCCGCGCGCGCACTACCTCCACCAGCGGAGGAATACCCCCATTACTCAGGCTGTAAGGCGGCTTATCAGATTTACAAAAATATATAAATATTTCCCTTCGCAAAAATTAATATTTTTGTAATCAACTTGAATATAATGAACCATAACATAATATACCTCCGTAAATATTCGTTTCAAATACATAAAAAAGTAGCAAATAAAATATATTTAAGCCTAGCTGTGAATTAATAAAACCCACGCTTGTGCAATATTAAAACAATATGTATAATTCATGCCCTTAACATGTCTGCGCAGGATTAGGGTAACGGCGATATTAGAGAACACAAGTCAGGATAGGACAAAACATAATATATATATATATATATATATATATATATATATATATATATATATATATATATATATATATATATATATATATATATATATATATATATATATATATATATATGTATGTATGTATATATATATATTAAACAAAACAAGTTTACAACACAACCTTCGTGGTCTGTATACTTGTTTCCCCCTCTACTAACAGAGGGGAAAATACAGCTATTGTACACCCAAAGTAGAGTTAACATCAAGCGGAAATACAACATACAAGAGGAGTCGAACAAATACAGTAGACTTAACTAATACAGTTAACAACTTGTATAATTCCATACTTGAAGGTGATCTTATGAGGAATAATTCGAAAATAATTGTACAGAGATACAGATTGGTGGGTTATACACCGTTGTATTTAATACATCATACATTATTGCAATTGATACTAATTATCGAACTTGTATAACCGACCATACTTTGATATGGACTTCTACATCACGTCTACCGACTTCTACCTTTTTTTTGGGTGGGGGGGGGATGGAGAGATTGTGGTGAAGTGAGGTAAGATACCTCACCTCTCACCTCTCACACAGGGCTCTCTTCTGCAACTGAGTTATGGTTGAGTCCACCGCGTGGCCCTTGTATGCCGAGGAGCCAAACTCGTCGTCGTAGTAATAGTTTGGTTGATCCCAATCCCAGGGGAGGCGGCGGGTCGCCTCCTTACCGTCCATGTCGTACCAGACCGACGTGTCGTCCGGCCGGCGCCACATGCCGATGAAGAAGTAGTCGTCTTGGAAGATGTGGCTGAGGAGGAGGGCGTAGGTGGTATCCGGCGGGAGAGACAGCCGGCCGCCCATGGCCTCGCACGCGGCTTTCCCAGCCGGCCAGGTGTCCGGCTTCTGGGTCATGGTGACCAGCCGGCCGTTTCTCCCTGCGATGTAGTAGGTGTTGAGAGTAGCTGGGGCTGACGTCAGGCTGACGGAGGTTGTCAGTCCTTGTAGCAGCTGACATTCGGTGCTGGCAGTGTCCCAGGTGTAGGCCCAACACCAGGCTCGCTCGCTACACATGCTCCCACACCTGCACCACACACGGGAGACACATATGATACATGATAGCACGAGAACATTGAGGGGAGATTATCAAGGGTTTCAAATTGAGGCTGTGAAGTGGGATCGATCATGCGGCGGTCTATATAGCTAGCTACCAGCCCTGGAGGTAGGAAGGGGTGGGGGGGTGTGCGTGGGCCCGAGATGAGCAAGCACGCAGGTTCGATCCCAAAGCAAGGCTTCAACACTTATTTAAGTTTCTTTGCGGGTTATCCAGGGTAAATCCCGGCACTCCCAGAAACTTTACAAAAACAATCGTGGATTAATTCCTCTATAATCCGAGGTGTGGATCTTGACACGTGGGTCCCCATCTACTAGTCCCATCTACTAGTCTCATCTACTAGACAGGATCACTCCAAGACAAAATAAAGTCTTTTGATAGTCCAATAATTAACACAGTCACCCCAGAAATTAGTTTAATGATGATAACGAGTTATCAAGCCAAGTTATATATCAGTAACCTCATATATCCCTTCCATGTGCTATATTGTCGTAATGGTTTATATTGTGCTATCTTCTGATAATTACCTTATCAACCTATTGCCCAGCTTAAACTTAAAAAAAAATCTTGTTTTTACAAGAGATCAAATTTTTGTTAAAGTTTCTGTAATCGGAATTGAATACTTCTCACTTGATCTTCTTGAATGAGAATGACATTTCTCCATTCCTATAATGATATATTTCATTACCTCTACCTTTCAACACTAAATATAATATACATTATTATGTTAAATATAAAATAGACTGACATACTAAACATAATATACACTAACATACTGAATATAACATATACTAACATACTAACTCTCCAGCACAATCTTCACGGGGAGGAGTGTTGAGAGGTGGAGTTAGAGACTTACATGATCTTGGTGCTGAGGCCGTAGGAGACGTAGGGGGCGTCGATCCCACTGCCACCGGAGTAGAGGGTCTTGAAACTGAAGGAATACCCTGCGTGGGCCCACGGCGCCCCTACCACCACCAGCACCAGCAGGAACCATCGTGGCGGCGCCAACATTCTTGGACCTGAAGAAGAAAGGAAGGAATGGTGGGGGCAGTTGGGCCATCAATGAGTGGTTAACAGTGCATGAGCTTTTGTTTTGGGTCTGTCAGTCTGTCTGTCTGTGTCTGTTCGTCAAGAGACCCCCACCAAGTCTCACCTCCTTGCTCAGTGAGCGCCTAAACACTGACAACTTCTTCAAGATGGTCTGGTACGCGTCTCAAACCCCCTTCCCCTCCCCCACAACCCCCCCCCTTTTCCCCTCATTAGTCCTCACCCCCCCCCCTACCTGTTCCCCCTTCTCATGAGCACACTAAACACCACAACCCTTCCCCTCTCCCCGCTATAACGAACGAACCAACCATTCAACTGTTGTTCAACTGGAAAGCTTCCATGATGAACAACCATGGCGGGCTTTTGTCCAGTGTGGCGTTTATGAATCGGCGCTGAGGTTAATATATTACCACGACGGTTAGTGACGCTGTCTGTCCAGCCGGAAACAATGGGATGTTGATCACAGGTTCGGGGGACAGGAGCTAGACCAGCCGATGTGGCGAGGCTCTCAAATAGAGAGACAGAGAGACAGACGGAGAAAAACAACAATCCAATTGATCATCCCACACGATCAATATTATCCAAACGGTCAATACAATGACCTTGAGGGGGAATCATTTATCTCCTTGCATCATTACAAGGGCCACTAACCACTCGCGGTGCTCGTCTCAATAGGGTATTGTGCTCACAAGTTCACATGCCACACACACAACCTCAATTTGGCACCGCACTAGTCCTCAATAGGCTCTTGCACATCAATCAAACCTTTTTTTCTCTCTCTCTCTCGAGCAGTCCTTTGATCGAGAATGTGTTTCTTTTCCACCTCTTCCCAGCTCTTTGAGTGACGCCTCTTCGGGCGGGTCTCAACAGAAAACGAGGAATTTCAGGAAATTCCTTTTGTTAATTCGTGGATAAATGCTTCGTGGGGGTTGGTGGTACTGGAACCATTTTTTGGGTGTACCGTTTAGGGAAGCTGGTATACTGTTTGGGGAAGTTGGTATACTGTTGGGGGAAGCTGGTATACTGTTTGGGGAAGCTGGTATACCGTTTGGGAGAACAAACATCTCTGGGGGTGATACAGTATGCTGGTATAATGTTATAGTTTCAGCTACTTCAGCTAAGAAGGGCAAGTATATCACAGCCCTCTGTAGAGAGACTAACGAAGAGGGACCATCACTCTACTCCGAGGAAACATAGACCAAACACCTGTGTGGAAAGGGGTGAGATCACACTTAATTTCGTCAAGTATTTCCTCCCCCTTTCTAACCTTCTCTAGTTCACCCTTCCGTCATTTCTTCCCCCTCCCACACCCTCTCCCCCCCCCCCTCTTTCCTCTCTCTCTCTCACCTTAAGTGCCTCCCTCCCTCCCTTCCCCGGTGAGAAGTCCTTCACCCGAGGGTCGTAAATGCTTCTTCATTACGGTTATTTGGGCAAAATAGCGTCCTTGGTTTAGTGTAATGTTTGAGAAGACGATGGGCACCGGGGCGCGGGCTGGAGAAGACGATGGGCACCGGGGCGCGGGCTGGAGAAGACGCTGGGCACCGGGGCGCGGGCTGGAGAAGACGATGGGCACCGGGCGCGGGCTGGAGAAGACGATGGGCACCGGGGCGCGGGCTGGAGAAGACGATGGGCACCGGGGCGCGGGCTGGAGAAGACGATGGGCACCGGGGCGCGGGCTGGAGAAGACGATGGGCACCGGGGCGCGGGCTGGAGAAGACGATGGGCACCGGGGCGCGGGCTGGAGAAGACGATGGGCACCGGGGCGCGGGCTGGAGAAGACGATGGGCACCGGGGCGCGGGCTGGAGAAGACGATGGGCACCGGGGCGCGGGCTGAGAGAAGACGATGGGCACTGGGCGCGGGGCTGGAGAAGACGATGGGCACCGGGGCGCGGGCTGGAGAAGACGATGGGCACCGGGGCGCGGGCTGGAGAAGACGATGGGCACCGGGGCGCGGGCTGGAGAAGACGATGGGCACCGGGGCGCGGGCTGGAGAAGACGATGGGCACCGGGGCGCGGGCTGGAGAAGACGATGGGCACCGGGGCGCGGGCTGGAGAAGACGATGGGCACCGGGGCGCGGGCTGGAGAAGACGATGGGCACCGGGGCGCGGGCTGGAGAAGACGATGGGCACCGGGGCGCGGGCTGGAGAAGACGATGGGCACTGGGGCGCGGGCTGGAGAAGACGATGGGCACCGGGGCGCGGGCTGGAGAAGACGATGGGCACCGGGGCGCGGGCTGGAGAAGACGATGGGCACCGGGGCGCGGGCTGGAGAAGACGATGGGCACCGGGCGCGGGCTGGAGAAGACGATGGGCACCGGGGCGCGGGCTGGAGAAGACGATGGGCACCGGGGCGCGGGCTGGAGAAGACGATGGGCACCGGGGCGCGGGCTGGAGAAGACGATGGGCACCGGGGCGCGGGCTGGAGAAGACGATGGGCACTGGGGCGCGGGCTGGAGAAGACGATGGGCACCGGGGCGCGGGCTGGAGAAGACGATGGGCACCGGGGCGCGGGCTGGAGAAGACGATGGGCACCGGGGCGCGGGCTGGAGAAGACGATGGGCACCGGGGCGCGGGCTGGAGAAGACGATGGGCACCGGGGCGCGGGCTGAGAAGACGATGGGCACCGGGGCGCGGGCTGGAGAAGACGATGGGCACCGGGGCGCGGGCTGGAGAAGACGATGGGCACCGGGGCGCGGGCTGGAGAAGACGATGGGCACCGGGGCGCGGGCTGGAGTGTTTGTTCTTCAACTCTCCTGTGTGGATTATGCCTTCAACTGGTCGCCGAGGCGCGGTATTGCCTCTTGTACCGGGGAGGGGGAGCAGAGGAGTGGATGGTGAGGGAGGGAGTGAGCCTCCTGTTGTTCTGATGGAAGTTGTATGGGGTTCCCAGTTGTGATAACTTCTGTATATAGTGAGTAGGTGTATAGTATATGTGTATAGTGTAGAACACATGTGTTATATGTGTATGTTCTGTATATGTGTATGTGTATAGTATATGTATATGTGTTCTGTATATGTGTTTAGTATATGTATAGTATATGTGTATAGTGTATGTGAGTATAGTGTAAGGTTTGGGGTTATCTTGTTGTTTATCCGTATTCTCTCTCTCTCCTCTCGTCTCTCTCTCTCTCTCTCTCGCGTCTCCTCTTCTCTCCTCTCTCGCCTCCTCTCTCTCTCCTCTCTCTCTCCTCTCTCTCTCTCTCTCTCTCTCTCTCTCTATCTATCTATCTATCTATCTCTCTCTCTCTCTGTCTCTCTCTTCCCACCTTCTAAGCACTCACTCTCGTTCTCGTATTCTCACTCTCACGCTCACACTCACTCTCCTTCTCTCACTCACTCTCACACTCACACTCCAACTGTCACTCTAACTCTCACACCCTCACACACTCACCCTAACTCTCACCTCTCACATCAACGTTACAGAGAGTACCAAGAGCAGTACTAACTAACAATGCTAGCAAAATTACTCATCAAAAATGAGGTAAAAATGACAGATATAAAGTTCAAAGATTATAAAAAAAGGTTAATAATTAAAAGGCTAAGCTAGCTGCCATCATTCAACCCAACAAATAAAATAAAAATAAAAAAAATCATCAAAATATACTGAAAAACGAAAATCATTCGTAAAGACGACCTTTCAGTCGCCTGAAAGATGTAACGAGTGAGCAGTTGAGTCGTTTAACTCAGTGCTGTTCACCCCTCGTCGTGTGAAGGGCCTCACCAAGACGTTATATATTATATATATATATATATATATATATATATATATATATATTATATATATATATATATATATATATATCAAGGTGCAGCATGAGAGACACACATGCAACAGGTGTGTGAGAGACAGTAGGTGACTGCTGGCTTCACAAGGACACACATACACCCGTACATCAGAGGACGGAGTTCGAGGTCACACTTGGTGAGAGACACTTACCTGGTGAGAGACACAAACACACACTTGGTGAGAGACACTTACCTGGTGAGAGACACAAACACACACTTGGTGAGAGACATTCTATCTTGGACTTTGTGAAAGAACTGTAGATAGATAGATAAGATTGGCAAGCAGTAATTCCTAATTAGCTAGAGTATAACTAATTAGTGAGTATATTATAGATTTAATTTGGAATCTGTAGAGTGCTATACACACCATGTAGGGTATGTGGGCCCGTCTCCAGCCCAGGCAGCGTCTTATAGCGTATTTGCCTCTAATGTTACATACATATGAACAACAAACG